GTAGAAATAAGTTCATTTCTCAATTGATATCCATTATCATCATTTTCCAATGGTTTTGTTGACCGAAAAAGGTTCAACTTACGTACATAAACATATAAAGTTGTTTCTCGCATATTCAACGAGAGCAGTGCACTTGATTTCTGTCAAAGAAAATTCACTTATAAGACGTCTGCAACAATTGCAAATGACACTGCTGAATTGGAAGCCTTGTTGAGTGCTACAAGAGACAAATAAAAAAAAAAAAACTAACGCTAATGCTGCGTGTAATGATCTGTCTGAATGATAATTAGAAAGAGAATAAGCGAAGTAGAAAAAAAAACAATTTTTCAAACGGATATTGCGTTTTCAAGTACTGTTTTTTCAGTTTTTATAATACACTCAACACATGAGAGAATAGATACAGTAATTGCATTTCGACTTGAGCAGTATATTAAATATTTGTCCTGAGTTTTAGGTCAACATATAATTATTTTGAGTTATTGCTTATTCATAGCTCACTATAATATCGAGATTCATGTGGATCAATTGATCACATCTTTTTTCTAAATGTTCAGTTTGACGAGAGAACTCCATCGACTGATTAAACACTTTGAGACTCATATTCCGACTACAAGTAGGACTTCGTGGGGTAAGGGGAACTCTTAACGAATTTTTCCCCATGGGCCTTTAGGCCTGAGATATGAATGTTTCGAGTTTAAGAGCAGAAATATAACCTACGATGCAAAAGTCTTTGGAAAAATGTCTGTCTACACAGCTCAGCCGTTTTAAAAGATAAAAACCTAATTTTTTTTTATTAGAAAGAGCATCTAGAGTACAACAAAAAACTATATTTAACAGACTGAATAGAGTCCATCTCGCCACATAGACCGAAGCTTTTTTCGAACACCCTTCATCATGGCTTGCAACATTGGTTGATCAAGTTCTTTTGCCTTTTGTTTGATCCTTCGAATCAAATGATCTTTAGTTTTTGCTTCCCAGTTGTTTGCATATATTTTCTGTTCGAGTATAGACCAGATACGTTCAATTGGACGAGCTTGTGGTACATTTGGTGGATTATCATTACGAGAAATAAATGGTATGTTTTTTTTATTCAAACGTTCTTGCACAATTTTTGAATAATGTGAACTTGCCAAATCTGGCCAGAATAAATAATTTCCATCATAATGATATTTATTAATAAATGGTATTAATCGTTTATTGATACATTCTTGTAAATATGTTTGTTGATCAACACCTAACTTGCTTTTGTGAACGTATATGTCGGAAATTCCTTTCGTGGAGATTGCCATCCAAATCATCACTTTTGGTTCAAATTTTGCTTTCTTTCGAAATTTTATGTTTGGAGGAGTTGTAGCTGGATTTGTGGAATAGAAATAGCGGTTGCAGTATACGTTGTTTCCACTTAATGTAAAGTATTTTTCATCGTCCATAATCAAGTTACAATCAGTTGACATTTTTCGATATAACTTTCCACAATTTTTCTTTGCTCGTTTTTCTTGTTCTTCACTATTCATCTTGGGAGCTTTTTGACGTTTTCTTATAACCACCATTGTTCTTTTTCTAAGATTACGTGAAACTGTTGACTGATGTACGTGGAGTGGTCGTGCCATTGTTCGTTGACTTAAACCACATCGATTGTTCACTGATTTAACAAGATTATTTAATTTTTTGTTGGATATTTTTAAAGGACGACCACACCGTGGTTGATCTTTGTTAGTTCCACATTTTAAATACTTCTTCAATATATAATATATTGTACTTTGAGGAATATTTTGTTTTTTAAAATATTTTACCGTAACTATTACGGACTTATTAGCTGCATCATGATAAAAGTTGCAAATACGTTGTGATAGTGCTTCTCTTTCGGCACGTGTCATTTTTGTTACTAATGGACAGGAACAATCTATTATATATCATTCGAAAGAGGAAAGAATAAGCTATCAACTGATGATAAAATGTTACTTTAACCTCACGTCTATCAGTTCGAATTAAAGCTGAACATTTTTCCAAAGACTTTTGCATCGTAGGTTAGATAAATTGCTTATTGTGCCTGAATTACAATACTAATATATCTCAAAAGAAAAACTAATTTTTTAAAATACTTATAAATTGAAGTATTTTACTTACTTTGTCCATAAATCATCCTGAGAATTGTGTAAAGATCGTTAGAACTCTTTTATTTGCCGGGTTGCCAGATGAAGAAACTAAAACATGTAATTGAATTATTAAAGCAACTGAAAAACGAGTTGTTAGTTTTTAAAAAAGTTTTGAATATGTAAATATATGTTTGATCTGTTCGAATGAATTGTTACATATCATCCAGGATTGAGTAATAGATCTCGAGAAAATTTTCACCACAACTTGAGGGTGTGGGTGTGGGGTGTCGGTGTAAGGGTGTGAAGTGTGTGGGTGAGTGTGGAGTGTGGGTGTGGGAATAGATTAAGGTGTAGGCATGGGTGTTATTCACTAGAATATTCATAGACATCCACATTCACACCCACCACACCCACACCCACACCCTCCTAGAGAAATAAATTATGGGAATTTGTTACTAAAGATGCCAATATCATGTTCATCACGATTACGAAATCCTTATGCACTTTAGCTTCTTAGTAAACCTCATAAATTGCAATCAATTGCACTAGACAGCATTTGTTTTCATATTCAATAGCATACCTTCATCTCACGTATAATTTTTGTTTGAATTTTTGATCGATTTGAATTCTTAGAATAAATAATATCATTATTTGCTGCTTTGATTTTGTGCCTCATTTATGAATCGTGTATTAAGAAAAAAAAACATTATTCTTCCTAGAAAACTAGAGTAGAGATCGTTTTATTTCTATTATATCAAAGTTAGTCTGCAATGATTTATTGTTAAATTTTTCGAGATGTGGGGAAAAGCCTTTAAACATATGGTTATTCTTTGAAAAAATGCTTTTTTTCGAACAATTCTTCTTTTGTCTCTGAAATTACTGTATACGTTTTCGATAATGGCTCCAGTGCATTAATTAAATCAGGAATAAATCGATCTCCTTTTCTTAAATAGAAGTTCATGAAATTATCATAACGTTCTTGTGAGTTTTCAGCTGGAAATAAGTTTTCTTTGATTTTTCTCAAATGTTCAATTTCAGTATTGAATGTTTTCTTTTTCGCTTTTAAGAGTTTCTTTTCCAAATGATTTAATATTTTTAACATCTTGGATTTTTCTGTTCGAATCGGATCTTGTAATAATGGATCGATATTCTTACATTTATCTAAAATTTGTGTGAACGATTGTTCAATTAAACCGATTTCTTCTTTTAGACTGATGTCATCATTTGAATGTTTAGTAACAAATGATGTTATAAGTTCATCGATAGGTAAGAATATATCAGATATTGAAATACGAAATTCTTTCATAAGTTCGAACGTATTACCATCAATTATCAATGCATTTTTTCTCAAAACTAACATCGGAAAATTCACTTTGTAGGATTCGAACATCGATCGTAATTCGAACCAATAGGCAAGTTCATGTGGACCACCGATATAAGCGAGATTTGGAAGTAAGAACTCCTGATACAAGGGTCGGATTATAACATTTGGGCTAAATCGTTCCGGAAATGATTGTATCTCTTTCTGTAATTCTTCTTTTGTGAATGTGTATTTTTCATCTTTTGTTTTATACTTGTCTCCATCTGTAACAATTAATACACGATAATTATCAAGCAAATAAAAGAAATTAATTTCTCTTGATTTTGCTTGAACTTTATAATGCGTATGCATTTGCCGAATGATTTCATTCATATAGTAAAAACTCTGTTTTGTCAAAATGTCTTGCTCGATAATATTGGCAAAGATCTTTTTCAAATCATGATTATCAGCATCTAATATAATCAATCCTTCATCATGAAATAATTGATGTAATAAGTAACGTGTTGCTTCGGCTAAAGTGTTGTTTTTCAAATACGCATCTTCAATAATTGAAATTAATCGTAATGCATTTTCCGAACTACCGAGAATAAATTTGACTTCTTCAATAGTTTTTTGAATATTATGCGTAATATTGATACGTCCAACAGCACCTTGAACATGATTTTCCACATTCCAGATTATTGTTTTCTGTAACAAATTGATATGATTGATTTCAGCAAAATCATGATCTTCTGACGCCATCCAAAATAAGGGAACAACTTTCACTCTCGAATTTTCTTCGTTGATCTTTTTTGCTAAATTAATTGTAGTAATCACTTTATAGATGAGATAAAGTGGTCCCGTAAAAATGATCAATTGATGGCCCGTTGTTACCGTATAAGTATTTGAATTCATTAATAAATGAATATTGTGAATGACTTTTTCATTCTGCGGTAACTGCTTATGTTGCTTCTCAAGAACATCAACCAGAACTTTCCTGTTAATTCTTTCGTTTGATTTATCATCGATTACAGTTTGAAAGGAAGACATGTTCATTGAATATTTATAGTACGATCGAATTGTTTCTTTTTCTTTCAGGTAATGTAGAATAATTTTAGGAAATACTCCTGCAGCTTGTAAATCAACTTCAGTAATCGCCATGTGCTAATTTTCAAGTAAGTAATTCTTATCTACTTTGCATTAAGTCACTTATATACTTTGAATGTTCGCCTATTAATTGTCTATCTAAAAAATTCGTTCAATAAATGTATGAAGTGAAATAAGGATGAGTGATGATAGCTTAGAATGAACAAGAATTCGTTACTCGTACAGGCATTTGTCCATGTTTGCATCTATTTCATCAATAGGAAGAGGGAACACAATTAACTCGATTTAAGCTGATTAATTCCATGACGAACGAAAACAAGTTCCAATTAAAATTTGTTACAAAAGTTTAACTAACATTTGTGATGTATTCTGACGATTATCTAATATTATTACAGATGGTGAATATGGATATACTATAGACAGGTTGTGTGAAAGTCAACTAGTGCTAGCTGAATTGGCAAAGATCAATCGTCAATGATCATTGTTTGTCAAAGTAGATTTTAATTAAAAACTTTACTTTGCATATTCTTTATAGTAAATTGTCCTGTTCTTACACATGGTGTAGATAAAAGTCAGACTATAGATCACAAATATTATATTGAAGATTGCCTTTAACTAATTACTTCATAGTAATGCTTGACTTGATACGTATCAACATGTTAATAATTACTTAATATAATAGGATACCAATATCAATGCTCCATTCGTCATTTTCGAAAGATCTTGCCTCATGTGATTTTTGGTTCATATGATTATATCAAGTGTAACTTCACTGACTAAACAAATGAAATATCATTGATTTGAGCAGCGTTCAATATAGTTAAACGCAATGCAAAAGAAGAGTTTGAAAAAAAATATGGGACTAACTATTAGAAACGATGGAGCTTTCTATAAATAATCATAGCTAATCTATTTAAATACTTAATAAAATAAAACAAAAAAAATCTCTTTGTTTTCATATTTTTCGTTAACGTGTTATTATTATTGATGAGTATACTTGTCAAAGCAATTTTTATGGAAAATATGAAGACTAAAATTCCTTAACTCTCTTGTCTTTGTATGTTCTCTACCAATAATATCATTATTCATATTGAGGATATATCAAATGTTTAAATACTGCTTTTGAATCGATCATTACTATTCTACTAATTGCACAAACAGTGAATTGAAATACTAATGTACAATATATAACGTTACACTTTGTTTTAATCCATCATCTTTTCGTGTGTACCATATCTTACTGACTTGTTTGAATGAAACTTTGAATTTTGAAAACACTTTTGCAGTATTAGGTTTTTTTTTGAACTTTGTTATTGATAAATAACTTCTATTTTCTATATAAAATAATAAAGTATACTTGCTACAGAAATTTTATACTATCCTTAAATGTTTGTGAATTTTTAAAAGTTATATTGCGAAAAATTTACTATTTAGTGTCAGAACAAAAAAACGTTTAACAGCTTAAGAATTCATGTTATTAAAATTTTTGGGCGATTCTATGTATAAGAATATCATAACATTTGAAAAAGACATGGATGTATGCGAAAAAAAGATGCAACAATGCTGCATTTACTGCAATGACGATAAGGACAAAGTGTGTAGTCGTGACTTTAATACTTTTTGTTCTATAGAAAATTTTCTTTTCTTCTAGCATACGGTTTCTAACCTGGAGCCAAATAGTTTATATGAACTCCACATTTTATAGACTCATCAAGATCTGTGTTAACAAGTTTCCAGATCAAAATAGAGAGTTAGATACTCTTGAAGGAAGCGAAACTCCAAATATTAACACAAATGATGCCTAAGAATTATTTCTTTTATAACGAGATTCTACACACTGTGATCCTATAATAGATTCAAGTGAACTGACATTTAATGAACAATACCTCTGTATTCTACAAATGATATTGGATATATTATATAAATATTTGAGTTCAGTAATGGTCTTCATCAGTATATCTAGATAAAGCAATATTCTTCCGCAAATTATTTTGGATTACCGGAAGTTCACCAATAAAACTTTCGCCAATAGGACATTCGCCAATGGCGAAAGTCCAGGGGTATATTGGCGAAATTCTACTGTACTTTCGCCAATTGGTGAAATTCTGATGAGTGTGTTGGCGAAATTCCAAGGAATGTAATGGCGAAAGTATAGTGGACTTTCGCCAATTGGCGAAAGTACAGTAGACTTTCTCCAACTGTCACGAAGCAATATTAATACAGGGTACATCTAAGGGTTGAAGCTACAGTCTGTCGAATTCAAGAATTTCTGAACCCGAACCCGATTGATGGATCTTTTATAAGAAAAATTGAAAGAAATCCCAAAAAGGTTATTATATGCATGAGATATTTCTTTGGATCTGGATCCGATCAGTAAAATTTTCCGAACTCGGACATGAACTCAGTGATTATAAAGCTTTCAGACCCGGATCCGGTCGGGTTCGGGTTCGAGTAGATCCAACGGGCTCTAGCTGGAGCTAATGTTGTTAGAATATTTATCATAGCTTACACTCATCAATATAGCCGACAGGAATATTCGAATCCACATCTAGTTCACAGTCAAATTGGCGAAAGTCCGCTGTACTTCCATCAATTGGCGAAATTCCAAAGGGTATATTGGCGAAAGTACAGTGAACTTTCACCAATTGGCGAAATTCCAGAGGGTGCATTGGCGAAAGTCCTATTTGGTGAAAGTCTTATTGGCGAAGTTCTGGAATCCCATTATTTTTTTATATGAAGAAGTTAAGAAAAATAATAATAAATATAACTAGAATGACCAGTTGTTGTCTTCAGTCCAATTTTGATATTCAATCTATGAAGGTTCAGGCATTTTTCGGTTTAATACTCGATAATAAATTTGTTCGTATCGGTTCACCATCGTTTCACGATTAAATTCTGTTCTCGCATGAATGAGACACTGGCGTGACATTTGCTGCATCAGTACTTTATCGGTCAATAATTGAATCGTATATTCTGCCATTGTCTTCGTATCTCCAATAGGTGCTAGAAAGCCAGTTTCTCCATGAATAACTAATTCTGGGATCCCGCCTGCTATTGATCCAACAGTCGGTACACCACATGCCATTGCTTCGAGAGCTACGAGTCCGAAACTCTCTTTTTCCGACGGTAATAATAATACATCAGCTAGCGGAAAAGTATGCGGCATACTAGCTTCTTTCGAAAGGAAATGCACTTGCTTCTCTGACTTCAATTCATGTAGTCGCTTTTGACAATCGCGCATGTCGGGTCCTTCGCCAACTAATAATAATCGTGTCGATGGAATCTTTTGATTTACAAGTGCGAAAATGTTAATCACATCAATGACACGTTTTACTGGCCGAAAATTAGAGGCATGCAATAGAACTTGATCTTTCCCAATGCCCAATTCTGCACGTAATCGGTCATTGTTTCTTGGATGAAACAGTCGTTCATCAACAAAATTATATGTTAAGTCAATGTTGCACATATTGTTGTCTAATTTTTGAGCTTCTTTTACTAAATCTTTTGAAACAGCAGTAACTGCATCACTTTTCTTGAGTGCTAAACATATCAAATCTTTGAAGGTTGGATCCACTCCAAGTATAGTAATATCAGTTCCATGTAATGTTGTGACTATTTTTAAATGATCACCCACTATTTGTTTAGCTAAAAATGCACAAACTGCATGTGGCATGGCATAATGCACATGTATCAAATCAAGTTGTTCCATCTTAGCTACTTCTGCAATTTTGTTGGCAAGTGCCAAATCATAAGGTGAGCCTTTGAAAACAGGATAATCAGTTACTTCGACTTCATGATAAAAAATATTTTTTGATAATTTATCGAGACGAAATGGTACGCCATGTCCAATAAAATGCACTTGATATCCTTTGTCGGCCAACAACTTCCCGAGTTCTGTGGCTATTATACCAGAGCCACCCATCGAAGAAAAGCAAACCATGCCTATTTTTAATTTTTCGTCCATCACGCAGGAGTGTTTTTTTTTGTACTAGATCTTGAAAGAGAGAAAGAGATCAATAGATGTAGCAAGCATTTTCAAGAGGCATGTCTCGCAAAAATTAGATCGTCTTCCTTCCTATTAAGTATCTGAAACGATAGTCCATGTTAAAAAAAATGAATTCTAACTTTCAAACCTGTACGTGGTACTTATTCTGAGTTCTCAAAAACGGATTGAAATAGAGTGTGGGTGAACAAAAAACTCGAATGCCGTATCAATACACTCAAATGAGCACTGATTCGTGACGGAATTCCAAATATCTAGTGCTCGATAGGTAGCGCCTTCATAGTTCGATTTGTTATGATAATCGTTCATACGATTTCGAATTTCAGACTTCTTACGTCTTAGACTAGCAATGTGAGATATGTATAAGAATACGTTGCCATACATCTTGGAAGTCATCGTAAATAAAATGAATATGAATTCTTGTTTGTCGAAAAAGTCTTGTTCACTTCTTTTGTGAGAACTCAGGATGAATGCAACATACTTGGTTGAAAGTTGGAATTCATCAGTTCCTACATATGAGCTATCATTTTGGATAACATGCAGAAAGGAAGGGAGAAATTAATTTTTACCGAATATAGCAACGGTCGATGATCTCGTGGACCCTCTCTTAATTAGACAAGAGAAACAGTATAAAACGTAGCGATAGTATTATTTAATTCGAATTCGATAAACATAAAAAGAAAGCATTGATTAGCGTATAGATATTTCTGGTGAAAATATACTACTTTATACAAGATTTCAATGGTCAATGTAAAAACTTTCAGGAAGTAAAACTCATTATTCTAAGATTATTTGTAAAATGATAATTTAAAAGACGGATTGACATCGCAGTTTCCATTTGATTCGAATACAGTACTTTCGAATAGTGTAACTCCAATGGAAACATATGAATACAATGCGAAACTAAAAATTTCTTATTTTGAATAGAAATTTGGCCCCATTTTTTATATTTGGAAGCGAACCCTAAAAGGTTTTAGACTTATACAATGAAATATTTTAGCTTTGATAGACGATTCAGTATCAGTTAAAATGGTTTTGTATGTGAAGGCGAAAATTTTTTATGCTTCAGAAATCATATTCGAAATTAGAATTTTTCTCGGCTTCTTATTATAGTCACATTATTATCAGCATATAACCATGTTAGTTGAAAACTAACTTATGTAATCATATGAAATTCAGGAGATTGATCGAACTAAAGTAGTGGCTCCATGAATGGTCTTAGAATCTTGAAATTTGCAATTCATCTGAGTTTTTACGTTAAATGATGGAATTATTGTATAGAGTGGTATATTGTGCAACAAAAAAAAATACTCGTCACTATATCAAACGATCAATTAAATAAGGTTTTTTTACTGCAAAACCTTCAGCAAACGGAATTGAGTAAGCGCGTCCAGCGAGAATATCACGACACTTCACGTACTCGATAAATCGATTATTCAGGGGTGTGGCCACAATATTTCCGTCGAATTGACTCGCAAACTGAGAACGGTAACACGAAAGTGCTTTCAATTTTTGCTCATGTACTGCAGTAACATCAATGAGCAAATCGGGTCGACCGAGCTCATTTATAAAATAATAATACAGTTGGTTCACGGTTACAGGTGGTAGCTCTGGCATATAACGATGAAGTTTTGCATTAAAGACTGCTTGTTCTACCAGTTTACTACAGGCGACATGATCCGGATGACGGTCTTCCCAATGCGGTATGAATACAATCTTTGGTTTTAGTCGCCGAATCTCAGCAGTGACAGTAGCAATCTGTGCCATTGTTACTTCCAAGCCACGATCCGGAAAACCTAAGTTGCTACGATAAGATAAGCCTAAGACGTTTCCTGCTTCTGCCGCTTCTTGCTTACGTAATTCCACAGTTCCATTTGATGACAATTCAGCAGCCGTCAAATCACAAATACCTACCTTGACACCAGCTGCCACATGTTTAGCTATTGTACCACCCATACCGACTTCGGCATCATCAGGATGGGCACCAAAAACAAGGATAGAAATGTCGGAACACATTTTTATAATTTCGTCAATTTTAAAAAGTGTCTCTTATCTAAAAAGTTCGCAGAAGTCGGTAACAAATATTCTAGATAAGAGAAAAATAAAATAAATTATGTTCATGTGCATTGACCATGACAAAGTCTAGCAAGGATCTGATCTGTGATCAATCATGCACAGACCTCATCAGAGAAACAATGATTTAATCATAAGTTAATATTTGACAGTTTTTCCGCCAAAATCGATTTAGAAATCAATAGCTTTGAATGGTGAAGATGTGTTCATTTCGAATGAAGAGAATAGTAAAATTTCCAAATCACCTTACAGAACGTATCAAACATGTCGACATATCCGAAATGATTCAGAGTACTAAACAATTTTTTTGATTGAAATGCAGACTTTTGGCCTCAACACGAACTATTATAGAGGCAGTCATCTTGCTTTATCAGAATATAAATGTTTTATGATGTTCTACTTTTAAGATTACAAGAATTCCACTAAATCCTTTCCATTATCCATCATGTTTTTCATGAAAAATTCATGTTTCTTTTCCATTTTCTAGCTTCATAGGATCATATCAGACAGATGTATGAATATTAAAATATTCAATAGTAAAAACATGATCATGTATCTCGAAAAAAAGAATACTTTTTTCGGACGTTGTATAGTCATGAAATTTATCAATAAATCAAATTTCAAAGCAAATTTTCACATCTCGAAGCTATCATAAATGGACTATCAGAATATATAAATACAGCAGAACAGTCATAACACGATTTGCTTCGAATATATCATTCATCAAAAGCCTTTCGATTTTCAATAAGTATTTGATAATGAATCGTAATTCGTGATGCAAAAACTATTAAATCGTTTCATTCTTAAAAATGTTACGACTATCTCAACAACCTTAAAATCTTACGTTCGAAAATGAAATCACTTTAAGATCGGGTTTTCTTTGCAAAGAACATCATGAGAGTTCTAAAAAGTTTTACAAAATCATACATTCAAAAACAAATAAACTTCAACAATGAGATATTCCGTTGCTGAAAGCTGTTCATTTTTGGATTTAGAGTTTTTCTGTCTTTTTAAAATTCAACTGTTATGATGTTTCTTGAGTGAGGTATTACATTTTTAAGGGCGAACTTATCTTTCACTAGTCTTCTCTTCCCATTAGAGAAACATGATGACGAACCTAGGCGATAGAATAATATTACAGAAGATAAGGCATCGAAATTACTGTCCTTGGTTTTCTAGTTATTGTCATTGATGATTATTGTTCAATAGAAACAGATCTCTTGTCTTTGAGAGTTTGACGAATTCTTCAATCGAAGGGCGTTTAATAATTTTCTCTTGCCAACAGGGTGTATGTGAAATTATTTTTCGTATCTGCTATTAATATTCATAACGTTTACGCGCAGAGAACACGATGAGTGCATACATTTCTTTCGTTTCGAAACACCCTTACAAAAAAAAGTGCTGTTCACACTCGTTCCGGGTGATTGAATCTTCCCTTAATTATGATTTTTCAATCATAAACAGTAGCCTTGTAGATCTATTTCATGGTTGAGTATGCGTAATTTATTGGTGAAATAATAAACACTATATTACGAATTTGTTACTTGCAGCAGTCAACAAGTCGAGGGCCTCTATTGACTAATGAAAAAAGAAAAAAAAGTATTTTGCGTATCAAATTAATCGTATGTGAAAACAGCACTAAAAAAACTTGTTAGTGCAGCTTCTTTGGGTGTGGGTGCGGGTGTTGGGATGAGAGCCTCATCGAAGACGAGACCCACACCCACACCCCACATCCACATCCACACCCACCCCCCACATCCACATCCACACCCACCCACACGTCCACACCCACACCCACACCCCACATCCACATCCACACCCACCCCCCACATCCACATCCACACCCACCCACACGTCCACACCCACACATCAACCCCACACCCACACCCACACCCACTCACACGCCCACACCCACACATCAACCCCACATCCACCCACACCCACACCCCAAACCCACACCCACACCCACCCCAAACCCCCCCCCCCCCCAAACCCACACCCACCCCAAACCCACATCTACATCCGCCTTTTTTTATCGGTATCTCATACAAAATGTGCACAAATTTTACAATCAAGTTCAATAAAATTCTCTGTTCCATGGGATATGTACCACTACTGTGTAACATTTTAGCTAAAGAAATTTTAGAATTAAACTAGTTTCAGTAAAAAATATTAATATGTAAACAGTGCTTGTTGATACATATTACGTTGATTGTTTTTTTCGTCATGGATCATGTTTTCGTGACTATATTTTACGGGATCAAACTCATAGAAAATTTTTTTTAAATGGGTACAACTATGCTCCATCTGAAAGATTGAATATTCAGGACAATATTTCATTTTCTACCAACGGTGAGAGCATCATGAGAATTTCTCATTTCCGACTATATGAAGATAAGATGCAATTCTCAAACACAGATGTTTTTTTATACATTTCGAAAACATAGAATTCTCATGAAAAAGCAATGGTAGTTGATTTGATCACATCGAATACCTTTTTTTATTTATTTATTTTTTTTTTATTATGCTAAAACAAAAACTGTGATTCTAAGATCCTATCAGTACATATGAGTAGACAAATAAGGAATAACGAGAGATAACAAAAACAACAAACAAACAAGAACAAAGAAAAGAAAATCATAACAACAAGCCGTATAACAAAATAGTGAGGTCTACAAGAAAAAAATTCGGGTGGGCGTGGGTGTGGGTTGTAGGTGTGGGAGTGAGTGTGGGTGGGTGTGGGTGTGGGTGTGGGGTATGGGTGTGGGTCAGTGTGGATGTGCGGTTAGGCATTAAAACATTCCCATCCACCCACGCCCACACCCACATCCACCCACACCGACACCCACACCCACACCCCTACAAAGAACGGAAACATATAACAAACCAAATCGATTCAGTCCAACGTTTCGGCTGAAAAGCATATAGTTCTACATCATTTTCAGCTTTAACGGGATCGTATTTATAGTTACCTGAAGGCCTAGCGAGATCTCTTAAAAAAGATACAGCTTCAATATAGATCGAACTCGGTTAATATCTCGTGATCACGCTGATAAATTGAGTCTGATCTTCTAACGTTGAGAAGAGCTCTTTAAACTATTGAATTCTATAAGAACGAGTGATTGATTGTCTTCTGATGAGTATTCCTGCGAATACTTTTCATTCCCTACGTAAGTCGTTTTAACGACTTTTTACCAACCTCTTCTCTTTCGCGTGTTTCATGAAATCGAATAAAAACAAAGATCAGCTCGTTGTCTTACCTTTTATTCATTGCAAGCAATCAAAGACTGCACTGTTTTCTTATTCATGTTGTTGATAAATGCGAAAGACATCGTTAAGACTCATCTGTGTCAATACTACTCCATACGCGTAACGACAGACATTTTTCTCTCATAAACTGTTTTGAAAGAAATCAAATGTTGTGATGGGCGTAAAACTCCAATATTCACTAGAACATTTGTGGTGTCAAATTGAAAATTTAAAAATAATACTTTTTCGATAACCCATCTAAATACACTACTTTTTCAAGAAGCTTTTCTTCCTTTTTATCCGTTGTGTGATCCACATATGAAAAAGAAGGTATGGAAAGATGATAATATGTTCCTTAATATGAAACAAAAGAAATTTAATTTGGATTCTAAAAGATTTGTTCTAACATAGTCGTGCTTGTAATAAGACAGACAACAAATTTATGATTGTATAATAGTATGCTCTTTTATTTTGACATCTTTATTGCAAGAACAGCAGAGAAAATTTTTCTTTTTTTAAAACGAATCTGAGAGTAACATTTTTATGTTTGCACCAATCGATAGACTTCAATGTCATTTATTTGAAAGTTTTTATTACCGGTGAAAGTTATTGCACCTTGTTTTGTTGTATCATTGTATGAATGAGGAAAATTACAGGTGTTTACGTTTGTTTGACTATGACTAGTAATATATAAGTCGTAGCCACCACCGAATGTTGGACCACAGTTAGGGTGATCATAGATAGAATACTCTGGAATTGTGACAGAATACTTAGTTGGAGGAATGCCATGTGGATTAGTTATGGTGAACAGAAATGGGCCATTGTTGTCATGAACATAACTTTGCCTCGAGTTCCAAGAAACAGATGTGTATCCACCAAATAGATAACCACCCGCTGTTGATTGAATAACTGTTATTGTAGGACCTTGATTATCACAGCATCGATGAAAATCAGCACTAGAAAAGCCATCTCGTATTGCTTTGTAAATCAACATCCAACTTTGTCCTTCTTTACCATAGAATTCATTTAATTTCACTTGGTGTTCAATTGATAATAATGTATCATCACCTGTAAATAATTCATGCGGGACGAGAGTGGCCTCTAATTTAATTGCTTTTACATCCAATCGAAAGTAATCATCTGTTTCAATTTGTTTACATTGTTTTCGACATGCTTCGATATTTTTCTTGATATTTTCGATTTGTTTGAACGAAGCATCACCTTCATCAATCAATTCGTTTACTTCTTGGCCTAATTCATGAAGTTTCTTTATTTGATTATCTATCTTCTGGCTAATTTCGAACTTCAACTGTCTTTTTTTCTCTTCACACAATTCATCAATACATTGATGACTTTCCTCGCGCCATTGTTCAATTTGCTCGAAAACATGATGAGTAAGATCACGTTGTTGGATTGTATTAATAATTAAATTTAATTCATCGGAAAGAGATGTAAGTTCAGCGTTTGATAGTTTAATATGTTCAATATAGTGTTTGGTGCAGACTTGACCTTGGCAATGATCACATACAGTATCAAAGTTACGTTTGCACCCATCGATCGAACATTTCGAAGAAGTCATTTTCGTTTTTAAAAACATCTAAAATTAAAGAATATCATCAGTCTATACAGTCAAGCGAATAATGAAAAAATGGTCATTGAAATGCCTTATTATCTGTAGCTAGACAATTTTGACCATTAAAATGCATTTTTTTCAAATGAATAATGGCAAAATGTCCATCAAAATGAATACTGATTTCTTAATGAATCATTTTCACTATTTCACAAATCACGAACTCTGCTTTTTCGGTGTTTCAAACTGATTTTTAAAATGTTTATAACTTCAAAAATTTATGCCGATTATTAGTGTTTGTTTATCAAGTGTTTTTTTTTACAAAATAGTCAAGCGCATTCTTTCAAATTAACCGATCAAACATCGATTGAAGTATTCGATCCTTATGAAATCATACTTACTAAGAGCCAAAAAGTTAGTTTTCATATGATATTGATAGTCAGTTTACAATCCTCGAATCGAAAAGGATCCTTCTCTTTATAACACTGCTGAATTTAAATTTTTTTTCTTAAAGATTGAATGTCTGTAGTTGGCAACGACATCATCTTTTTTCAAAAGCAGATCGATCTCATTTGCTTTTCAGATAAGCTGCACATCTGAGGCAACTGACATAATCGTATTTTTTTCTGATTCAAAAAAAATTAAAAGGATTATTCGTGAGTGCAGGTAGTAGAATAAGAAAACATTTGCCATCGTATGTTCAAAAACTGGTTTACTGTCCGTCCAATACTTAGTCTTAATCATAAAGTCGCCTGCTTAATGCAAGAATCAACAGCAGTAACTAATGCTTACTGTTAAATCTTATGTATAAAAGGCGAACTCCTGACAATGTTCAACAATTCTGCTTTCATCAATGTGAACGATATCCCAAATTACATTACAGAAATAGTCATTATAGGATGAGAGCAAGTTTATTAAGTAAGGCAATGTGCCAACAAGAGGTATTTGTTCAATTATTTGAGAATAGTGAATATACAACACAAAGACGTTATTAATATATTAAGGCATTTATCTTTTCGATGTTCTGATTCGTAACTGTAGAATTTATACCTTGTTGTTTACTGCTCATCTCACACATGGGGAAAACCTCATGTAGTATCTATTTTCCATTCATCAAACTTTGATGTTTCACGTATTTCAGTGTTCGTTTTTTTGATTTGACGTCTCATTTTAGGTTTTACTATCGAGATCAGGAACTCAAATAATTTCTGAAGCTGACAACAAAGTTTCTCTTTGTTTGATCGTTGTCAGACATACTATGATAGCGTCTTGCCATTCTATGTCAAAATATATGACTTACTTTTCATAGATCTATACTGTTTTCTTAACGGAAAGAGCTTTGAGGCTTTAGAGAAGTGAAATGGTATTTTTTATATGTGTAAGATTCGCATTTTCGGTCTATTTCATACATCTAGATTACGTATTCCTGGGATTCTTGTCGTACTCCATGGATTCCCATCGTACTCTCGAGATTTCAAGGATTCGAAATCTTGGGAATCCGCCGTTTTTTCCTTGGTAACAACTATACAGGATGTCCCAACATCCGTTAGGAAAGTTAAAGTCAATAACTCTTGTACAATTCAAGTAATTTAATTGATTTTTTTAATAGAATGTTAGTATTCTCTTGAAAGTTTTATTTCATATAATTTAGTTTACAACAAATGTTCAAAATGATTCCCATCAACTGAAATACATAAATCCAGCTTTTTCGAAATCTTTAAAAAAATTCTATACGAAGTTTATTTTCGAATTAACTTATTTCCATTATCGGTTCTTATTTTGAACTGAACTAAATCTTTATACATATCTTATACCCATCAGTCATCGCTTTATATTTATCGAAAAATCATGTAAATGAAAAGAGACTTCGCTTGAAAGAAGAGAATTCTCCTGATTGTTGATATTTTGTAACGCTTGTATCAAAGTTATATAATTTTACCTCGATCTTGTGACTCTTCTTCTTGAAGTTATAGGACAAATTACACTCTATATAGATTCATTAGATGATATTCAGTAATAATTTGGTCTACTATTGTTCATGAAATGAACAAGACTGTTGCAACAACCCGAACACTCGATAGTGGCACATTTTCACAATTATCATAAACTTCGCCGATTTTCTCGTCTGTAATTTTCCAAGGTCTTCCAGATTGTTGCCCATTTACTACTATACTCATGTCGCAAAAGGCTTGAAAAGCATCAATAGTACAGTCTATGTCTGACGTTTTTATGCCGAATTCGACTTGCATTTTTCATTTTACAACGATATATGACTCAAATTTGGACATTAACAAAATTATTTTCATTCTACTGTTTATAAACAAACGAATTTATCTGAAAACATACAAAACAAAACTTTAAAGAATATGCTAACATACTATAAAAACCCAGTTAAATCGCTTGAATTGTATAAGAGATATTTGCGTTAACTTTCCTAACGAACTTTTGGGACACCATGTATATCGTTTTTCACATTTTAAACTCCGACGAATTGCGCTGAAAACTTTCTTTTATTTCATTTACGTTTGTTGTTTTCAGACTGTTCACTTCAATGATTAATAATTTATCCAAATGCATCTCTCTGTTTCTTGTCAATGGGCAATCTATCTTTTCCTGGATTTCTCTCATGTAATTCTTATAATACTTGTCTTAGCATTCATAATGGTTGATTCAGTATAGAATTCATTTGATCTCAGATTGACTGTCGATAACCAGCATTAAATCATTACATACCTCTGAATAAGCAGGAGGCGAGATAACACCGTCAGTATCATGGCAGATACTAGAACTAGAACAACGTTTCATATTGTGTATTAAGTAGACAAACAATTATCTTTCAAGATTATAAACTACTTACTTTTCATGTCCATTACATCTGTATCTCGTCACTCCAGTAAACAAATTATTACCAAGTAAAGTATAATTATCACACAGATTTGATGGATCATATGCATCCCAGCGAGAGTTGACCAATGGTTTATGACTTGGATAAACCCAAAAATTATTTTCTCGACTAGGATCACCATGGTAGAATTTGGATGACATGACTGCGTACATAAATTAATAAAAATATTGTAAGGTAATATTTGTTGTGTCTGTGAAAAAACAGGGTGCAAGGAAAGACTTGAAAAATAATATGTAATATTTGCATCTATTAGCTTACTTACAGAAGTGCATGTGGCCATTTTGCTAAGATATGTTATATATTCATAGAGAGAACTGTAGAGCAATACAAAGAGCAGTGTATTCTTTTTGAAAAAAACTGTAATTGCAATTGAATTTGATCAATCAATGTATGGTCGCATGCAAAGTGCGATCGATCATACACTCTCAAAAACAAGGAATTTTACGAAACCAAAAAAGGTTTCATATCAAACCATTTCTAGACAACTGCAACAAAAGGCTTCGTATGAAGGGTTTCGTACAAAACCTTTTTACCAGATCGAAAATAAGGTTTCGTATAAAGAGTTTCGTATTCAACCCTAGACCGATACAATTAGCCTTATCGACTTACCCCTACACATTTAGAGCTGATTAGTCTGGTCGAATGTCCCAGTTCTTTTTATCATGCTGCTTGGTAATATTTCAGAAAAATATAATTTTTTTTATCAGTTAAAGTATTCGTAAAGTGCTGATAATTGGTTATTGTTTGAGCTATGTATCCTGTCCACAACCAAATTAATCAAGAATCTTCGTAAAATCTTTTGCTGAAACGTACTGAATTGGCAAGTATGAATTACGATGAGAAGATTTTAAAAAGGAACGTTTCAGCAAAAGATTTTACGAAGATTCTTGATTATTTTGGTTGTGGACAGCTGATAAACTACAGAAGCACCATGATGAGAAAGAACTGGAACGTCCGACCAGACTAATCAGCTCCATATATTTCTAGGCCTATACCCTTACATCTATACTTAACTCCTTATAACTATCCCTTATAACAATGTCTAATCTCTTATAACTATACTTAATTCATTACAGCTAAATAATGATTCAAAAGCTCGATCTCTCTCCAAAAGTTGACGTTTACTATATAAAGTATCTATATAAATACTTGATCGGAATACTCAGTGTTGTAGAAAATGATTAGAGCTATCATCTGACAAAAAAATGTTTCAGAATACATCAAAGTGATCAAAGGTTATGATTACTTCATTAATAACGACTGATCATTTGACAGGCTACATTTATGTGCAAAAATTTTTAAAAATCACCGATCGTTTGTGTCATTAAAGTGGCCCAAAATATTGATTTTTTACTTGTTTTTTCTATGTCGTATTTTTATACGATTTGATAGGATTCGACAAGGTCTATAAGGATGTGAATATCAAAAAAGATTCTAATTCTTCTTTCAATAATCAGTCGATCCTCCGAGCAAAATTCTATCATCACCATCAATGTCTTCAATTTTTCTGATACTTTGATTATATTTGCGCTATATCTATGATATTTAAAATATACTGTTTTTCTTTTGGAAACATCTTAATAAACGACTTACCACCGCTGAATAATCAAAATCAAAGAAATAAGAAAATTTCAATATCGCGTCACAGTCGATTGTACTGATTATTATGCACGTAACATTGTTTATTTCTTTCGTCAAATGATTTGTTTGTTATTTTGAAGCCTATCGAAATTTTACCTTTCTTTTCTTCTTCTTTTGTATTTTTCTCTATAATGAAATGACGGTCTTGTTCGCTAAGCAGATTGGTTTGTTAGTTCGTTAGTTTTTGTATTCACTTTATAATATGTATATATGACAGAACGAAAGCAAATAAATATATATACATTCTCTTTCCTTCTGTTCACGTGCATATATGCAGGTAGACAGAGCAAAAAAATAGAGTGAGTCGAGATAAGTATAAAGAGAAAACTTACTCAGATTCGGTATAATTGCTAAAACATTTTTATTTGAAAAACGATCATTGAGTTTGTTGTGGACATAACTTGTGCTGATATTTATATTACAACTGAGGGACGAGTTGGAAATGGACGCCAATGACATAGTA